TCTTCTGTATAATTTTAAGGTTTTCTACTATGTTCAGATTTAAGCTCTTTGACTATAATATGCCTATGAGGTTTTTGTTTGGTTGGTTGGTTGTTTTAATTTATTCTGCTTGGAGTTCACTAAATAAAGTAAGTCAGACAGAGAAAGACAAATATTGTATGATTTTGCTTATATGTGGAATCTTTACAAAAATGATATAAATGAACTTATTTACAAAACAGAAATAGACTCACAGACATAGAAAACAAATGTATGGCTACCAAAGGGGAAAGGGGAGAGAGGGATAAATTAGGAGTTTGGGATTAACATATACACACTACTATATATAAAATAGATAAACAAGGCCCTACTGTATAGCACAGGGAACCATATTCAATATCTTATAATAATATATAACAGAAAATAATCTGAAAAATAATATATATGTATGTATAACTGAATTACTTTGCTGTACACCTGAAACTAACACAACATTGTAAATTAACTATGCTTCAATTTTAAAAAAAGAAAAGAAAAAGAAAAGAATTTCTGTATGAGTATAGAAATGGCTTGAATAAATGGCAAAAATTATTCATATTATGAATAATAGTGATTTATGTGATAAAATTAAAATATTTTATATTTTCTATAATAATATCATACATCTCCCAAATACAATGTGTAAACATAATATGTAAAATTAAATTCAGTCATCTTTGACAATTTGCTGAATTTCAGTCTTGAAAACCACAGCTTTACATATTTTTCTATTCTGTCTTTATGAAAGTATACTTTGTCAAGATGGATGAAACACATTTTATTGAACAATGTATTTGCTTAATATATAACTTTTAAATATTTAAACATATACTATGTGGGACTCCATCTATACTCTTGCCCAGGACCCCACAAATGCTGGGGCCAGTGTGAGCCCAGCATCCCAACTACAAGTACATTTCAGAGCTAGACTGGTGCTCACTGAGGATTAGGGGCAAGGAAGCATGATTTAATGATAGTATGTCTCTATTAGGGCCAGGTGGTGGTGTTCCACACCAGCGGCAGCAAAGGGCAGGCCTGGGAGAACCCTAGAAGTGATTGTTCTGGAAGGAGGTCATAGTCTCTGAAGCTGGAATGTGGTCCAGGGAGGTGGTTTCAGGGCCGTGAAGTACAGCCGCAGCCACAGGGGGATCACCAGGACCCAGAGAGAGAAATGCTATCCTCCTTCTAGGGCTGGAGGAGAGGGAAATAGATGTCAAAGAAAAGAATCAGCTGCAGAGAGGGCCCCTGGAGCAGGGCCTAAATACAGAGAGAGAAATCAAACTGAAGTCTGACAGGCTCCCCCCACCCCCACCCCGAGGAAGAGGGAACAGGTAGGGCTGGTCTGGAGGCGAGGACTCAGGAAGAGCAAGCAGGGTCACAGAGGATGCAGGACTGGCTGAGGGATCCCAGGCAGGTGTGCACAGAGTGAGGACCTGGCTTAGCCCCAGCCAAAGGCAAGAACAAGGCTGGGCTGGGTTCAGAGACCTAGACTGTAACTGAGACCTGGAGGGAGAGATTAAGGTCCAGTAGAGAAGAGGAGCTTTGGTCTTTCAGTGTCCAAAGCCCCTTCCCTGTACCACATTTGGACTCCATGGCCTAATGTCTGGCCTGGGTGGGCACTCCTGGTCCTGCAAGAGGGAGGGGACATCTAGGGCATACTGAAAACACACCTTAGACTCCTAGCTGCTGAAAACAGTTGACAGATGAGCTTTTCCTGGATCTTGAAGAAAGAAGTTGTCCAGCATCTAATCAAGGACCAACCTGGGCTCCCTCTTCTCCATCCTGGATTAAGGGAGGGTCTTTTTTTAATTTTATTTTTTATTGAAGTGTAGTTGATTTACAATGTTAGTTTCAGTTGTACACCAGAGCGAGTCAGATACACACACACACACACACACACACATACATACATACACACACACATATATTTTGAGATTCTTTTTCATTATATCTTATTACAAGAAACTGAACATAGTTCTCTGTGCTCTGCAGTAGGTCCTTGCTGTTTATCTATTTTATGTATAGTAATGTGTGTCTGTTCATCTCAAACTCCTAAATTATCTGAGAGAGGGTCTTGGGTCAAATTCTTAAAGGTTTTGAATAAGTAAGGTGACCAAGAATCCAAAAGGATTGACAGTACAAAGCAGTCTGTTCTCTCTCATCCCTTCTGCTCTTTGCCTCTGGGTCCTCACCCCAGGTTCCTACTCCCCTGAATCAACAAAGAGGGAGGAGGGTGATTCCCATATATGGTAACTCCAGACAGAGGCTTTCTTTCCACTGTATCTGACTTCCCAAAGGCAATTGACTCTCAAGTTCTTTTCCCCCAGGTCAGACACAGAAGACTAAGTTAGACATTTCCCAAAGGAAACTGACTGCTTTACTAAGGGAAAAGTCATGTCAAAAGTAAGATAGTACAAGACTACAGGGATGCATGAGGCCACAGGGAATCATTTTTTACTTGGACAGAATCAAAGTCAGCCTCAGGAGATTCAGCTGGCTCTGGTGTAGACACCAGATCATTTCTCAGACACCCAGCTTTGCACGGCCCCTGGGGCTGAGAAATTCATTCCACCAGAGAGAGTGAATTCATGATGTGGGCCCAGGCTGCCTCCCGGCCTTGCCCTGAGTTGATGGTCAGCATTGCATGGAATGAGCTAACCTAATTCCCAAGGAAGGAGAGACAACAATTACTGTGGACCTACCGGTGTGTATTTAAGCCTTCATTTAATTCCTCCAGCAAGCAAGACAGGCTAAGGTTTGGCTGGTGTGGGATCTCAGGTGATACCCTTTCTCTTTCCATTCCTGCCCCCACCAGCTTTCAAATAGATATCAAGGAAATTGAGAAGACTTCTAGGAAAAACATCCAAATTAACCACGCTCAAAGTTGAAATGCAGATAGGAGTACAGATTCAAGAAGGAGTTAATTGAAAATATCCAGTCCTAATGAGGGCGTGGTAAAACAGGGACCAATACATGCTGTTGATGGGTGGGTAACTGGTACCGCATTTTTGGAGGCAATTTGGTGATGTAATTAAACAATTTAAGTGCACACACATACTCCTTAACACAGCAATTACATTGCCAGGAATTTATTCTACAGATTTACAAGTATGCAAAGATTTGTGGACAAGGACACTCATTGCATCCTTGTTTATCACAGTAAAACAATGGAAGCAAATGCCCATCAAGAGGGGAAACACTGAGTAAAATAAATACTCTGCATCTATTAAAAAGAGTGAGGTAGATCTATATGCGCTGATAGAAGATGTACAAGATATATTAAATGAGAAAAGTGCAGAAGAGCCTTGTAATACTGTCCTATTTGAGGATTTTTGAAGGAAATTTACTATACACATATTTGTACTGGAATAGAAAACCTCTGGAAAGATATACACAAGAAATTGTGAATGGTGACTAGCCCTGGGAGACCTTTATTTTCTATTGCATTTTTCTCTACTCCTTTGAATTTATTTTCAGGAACATGTATTATTTTAAAACGTAAAAGAAAACATTTAAAGAAGGAATAAGAGACCAATGAAACTGGTGTAAAGGTAACATATGAAAGATAATTTATCAAAATTAAAAGAAGAAATTTCTCAAATTTACCATTTGAAGGCAAATTCAGCAATAGTACCTGAGGTGGTCACGACATGGTGGCTAATTGGTGAACCCTTCCTGACCCAGCCAACTTGGCAACACAAACATGCTGCCCTCACTCATTAAGCTATAGCTCCTTGAGACTCAAGCAGTCTTGCTATGGGGCCACCAATAACACTGCTGAGGCAAGGAAGTGGTTCCCCTCCCTACTTGAAGCCAACCCCTGAGTCATCAAGACACAAGGCGGAAAAGCACTGGTGGCCAGAGCCATTGGCAAGGATTTGCATCCAGTGACAGAGTCCCAGTTCAGCTGAAGCAGAAGGCAGTGAGTCTGGCGGATCCCTGTCCCAGCTAATAGCAGGATGGATCTCCAGCTCGGTTATCACCAAGTCTTGGCACAGGAGTCTTGGCACAATGGAGGTGATTGGCAGAGTTGCAGGTATCCAGCAACAGCAGAAGGAAGCAATCATCGGGACTGGGTCAGGAATGCACCTGGGTAACATAAGCTTGGAGAACCCCAGAAACACTTGAGGAAAATCTACCAGAGACTGGAATGTCTGAGTGAGTCCTTGAGACTTTTTTAGCTAATGATATTCAGGTTTCATGCATTTATCTGATATACTGAGGTCTTACTATGTGCAAGGCACAGTAGTAAGCCGGAAATAAGGCAAACACGGAATTTATTAAGTTGAATGAAAATAAAATTGTCAATATTCAATCTTTTGGATTCTATAAAAATGACACTTTCTTATGGATCAACATAAATACACCCTGGAAAGAGAAAAAACAGATTTAAAAAATAGCCAATTATTTGCTTGATGGATCTAACCCATTCTAGGGTATGGTGTGCGTGGTGCTGGTCGAGAAAGGCTTCCCTACATTTACATCTGAGAAAGTGAAGAGTGAAGAGGAATTAACTTAGTGAAGGAGACAGAGGGACATGATTCCTGGCAAACTCAGTTGCAAAGGCCTTGAAGGGCAAGAAATGGTCCGTTCCAGGGACTGAGAAGGCGACTCTACCCGCGCACAGGGGCCGGGGAGGGGTGGGGGATGAGCATGAGAGGACGCTGAGAGGGAAGCAGGAGCCAGTCAGGCCTTGTAGGCCGTTTTAAGGACTTTGGGATTTTTTTTAAAAGATTTAAATTTTAAGAGACTTAAAAAGCAATAGTATATTATATGTATCTAAAAGCTGGCAAAGTCTGGGGAACATTCAGGTTACAAAGAATGTCATTTCCCCTTTTGACAGAGCCCAGAAGTGTACAGCTACAGCGGCTAATATGTGGCTGCGTCAGGAATGGAATCTAGGTCCTTCCAAAGAGCTTTCTCCGCCCAGGACGCCACTGGGAGGCTGGCAGGGGTGAAGCAGGCAGCGGGCCAGCGGCCTCTCAGGAGGAGGCAGAGGAGGCCAAGGAGGCTGCGTGCGCCCCGGGCGCCCCGGCCTCGGGGCGGCAACTCAGAGCCCAGCAGTCCCGGCGGAAGCGGCGCACGGAGAAGCAGTAGATGAGCGGGTCCAAGCAGCTGTTGAGACTGAGCAGCGCCAGGCTGAGGG